GCTGTTTCTCCCTTCTCAGCGCCATATTGTGGGAGAGCAGATGCATAGAATAAGTCTTAATTCCAGTAACTTAGTCTAGTCCGAGTTGCTCCCCACAATAATGCTGGGGCAGGCGCTATGGCACAGGGGGTAAAGCCACCGCTTGCAGTGCTGGCATCCCATATGGGCACTGGTTCGAGTCCTGGCTGCTCCACTTCCAATCTAGCTCTCTGTTATTGCCTGAGAAAGCAGTAGAAGATGGCCCAAGTCCTCGGGCCCTTGCACCCACATGAGAGACCTGGAGGAAGCTTCTGGCTCCTGGCTTTGGATGGGCACAGCTCCGGCCATCGCAGCCATCTGGGGAGTGAACCAACGGATGGAAGACCTCTCTTTCTTTCTTTCTTTCTCTCTCTCTCTCTCTCTCTGTCTCTGCCTCTCTGTAGCTCTGCCTTTCAAATAAATAAATAAATATTTAAAAAAAAAAAAGAAAGAATGCCACAGGCAGATACCTGCAGTTAAAGCAAGGTTTCTCTTTCTTTTTATTCTAAAGGCAAAGTTAGAGAGAGAGGGAGAGACAAAAGAGAGGGAGAGAGATCTTCCACTACTGGTTCACTTCTCAAATGCCTACAACAGCCAGACTGGGCCAGGCTGAAGCCAGGAACTCCGCTGAGATCCTGCACATGGATGGCAAGGACTCAAGCAATGGAACAATCATCTGTTGCATCCCAGGCACATTAGCAGGGAGCTGGATCAGAAGCAAAGTAGCAAGGAATTGAATCAGCACCGGATATGGGAGCCCATGCAGCTTAACCCATCAGCCCTATCTGATGTTGAAAACTATGGTTTTTGGGGCTGGCGCTGTGGCACAGTGGGTTAACGCCCTGGCCTGAAGTGCTGGCGTCCCATATGGGCACCGGTTCTAATCCCAGCTGCTCCTCTTTCAACCCAGCTCTCTGCTATGGCCTGGGAAAGCAGTGAAAGATGGCCCAAGTCCTTGGGCCCCTGCACCCACGTGGGAGACCCGGAAGAAGCTCCTGGCTCCTGGCTTTGGATCGGCGCAGCTCCGGCCGTTGTGGCCAATTGGGGAGTGAACCATCGGATGGAAGACTTCTCTCTCTCTGCCTCTCCTCTCTCTGTGTAATTCTGACTTTCAAATAAAAAAAAAATAAATCTTTCAAAAAAAAAGAGGACTATGGTTTTTAATAAGAAATAAATACTATATCATTTAAAAACTGCTTCTTAGGTCTTGGTGCTCTGGCTGCTAGCTACCACGAAATTCACATTTTGCCTCAAGACCCAGAAGTAGATATTTAAATCTCAAATAGACTGAGGTTATTCTGTCACCTTAATAGAATGGAACATCAGTACTGGTAACAGGAATGGAACACGAGGGTATAAAAACACTGAGAACAGCCCGGTGTCACATACATGTAAGGTACTATTTTTATTATTATCATAATGGGCATCAGGCCTTCGAGTATCTCGTAGATTGAATTTCAGATGCAGCACACATTTTTCAGGGCAGAAGAATTTGGATCAATAGGGAGGGTAGAAATTTGCTCAATAGAAGCAGGAAAGCAGGTAAACATGACAAAGAGGTATTCATTCACCGAACATCTGATGAGCGCCCACCACATGGTGAGCCTCTGGAGTGCTAGACTCCAACGTTACATACCACAGAGCAGCTGCCGCCGCAGCCTGGTATGGGAAGCACTACGCAGCAATGCAATACGGTGTGATGACTGCTACAATAGGACACAGCAATGGGGAGAAACGCAGCACAGCGAACAGGGATCGCAAGTAAATAAATAAATCATAAAATTATCTGACCCAAAACGTCATTAGTGCAGAGGCTGACGAGCCCTGGCCTGAGACAAGGATGATGTCAAGAGCACTGCATGACACTGGAGGACAGTAGAAGCCTTTTGCAAATGCACTTTCTAAAGCCAGAATGTAAATAACAGGGGACTTCAAAAAGTTCATGGAAAAAGGAGTGAAAAGTAAGCTTGTTTTGCTGTCAAAATACTTTAAAATCCATACATAGAGTTATTGAAGAGCCCTAATTTAACTTTAGGAATCGTCAATGTACAAGCAGCCCTTCAAGCCATCAGTTAATGTTGAGTAGTCTCCCATGAGTATATTCAGAAGGAGGGAGTACTTACTGGGGGACACATTTATACTGGGGAAAGGAAGAGACAGATCCCAGGACAAAGACGGCAAAGTGACCATCAAGACATTAGAAAACCAAGGCCAGTGCTGTGCTCAGGGCATTGAGTCACTGCCTGCAACATCAAGACCCCAAATTAGCACCAGTTCAATTCCTGGCTGCTTCATTTCTGATCTAGCTCCCTGCTAATGGAGCAGCCTTCCCTGGGAAGGAGTGGAAGATGCCCCGAGTGCTGGGGACCCTACACCCATGTGGGAGACCAGAAGGAAGCTCCTGGCTCCTGGCTTTGGCCTGGCCCAGTCCCAAGCATTGCGGCCATTTGGGGAGTAAACCAGAAGATGGAATCAATCTCTATCTCTGTCTTCCTGTCTCTCTCTCTCTTTCTCTCTCTCTCTCTGCAACTCCATCTTTCAAATAAATAATCTGCTTTTTAAAAAAAAGAAGAAAACCATCAGAGGATGGTATCACAGAAACCAAACAGCAGCAGTGGATCAGGAGCAAAAAGAATAATTAGAAGTGGCAAAAGCAGAGAAAAGTTAAATAAGCTAGGAACAGGAAGTTCCAACTGAATTTGGAAAGATGAAGGTCACTGATGACTTTGGAGCATTGGGAACAGAAGCAAGAATCCTATGTCCAGGGCTGGCGCTGTGGCACAGCGGGTTAAAGCCTTGGCCTGCATCCCATATGGGCAATGGTTCGAGTCCCTGCAGCTCCTCTTCCAATCCAGCTCTCTGTTATGGCCTGGGAAAGCAGTGGAGGATGCCCCAAGTCCTTGGGCCCCTGCACCCGCATGGGAGACCTGAAAGAAGTTCCTGGCTCCTGGCTTCGGATCAGGTCACCTCTGGCTGTTGCAGTCATTCGGGGAATGAACCAGTGGCATGGAAGACACCCCCCACCCCCACCTTCTCTGGCTCTCTCTCTCTCTGTAACTCTTTCAAATAAATAAAATAAATCTTTAAGAAAAAAAAAGAATCATATGTCCTTAAAAATGAGAGCTATTTCATATACTCACAAACTGAAAGAAAAGGGCCAATAGAGGTTAAAAGCAAAAATAGGACAAAGAGGTTATTTAGTAAACATCAAGGATCCTGGGCAGTAGGACAAGAATCCAAACAGGGAGGACCTATACCTCCTTCACTGATACAGAAGAGGACAACGAGAAATTTCAGCAAAATGTGTACATGGTTAAGAGGTGCAGTTAAGGGAGTTCTCATCATTTACAATAGTTACTAGGCCGGCGCCGCGGCTCACTAGGCTAATCCTCTGCCTTGCGGTGCCTGCACACCAGGTTCTAGTCCCGGTCGGGGCGCCGGATTCTGTCCCGGTTGCCCCTCTTCCAGGCCAGCTCTCTGCTGTGGCCAGGGAGTGCAGTGGAGGATGGCCCATGTCCTTGGGTCCTGCACCCCATGGGAGACCAGGAGAAGCACCTGGCTCCTGCCTTTGGATTAGCGTGATCCGCCGGCCACCGTGTGCCAGCCGCGGCGGCCATGGGAGGGTGAACCTACGGCAAAGGAAGACCTTTCTCTCTGTCTCTCTCTCACTGTCCACTCTGCCTGTCAAAAAAAAAAATAGTTACTATAGAAGCAGGTGTCCGGTCTAGCCGTTAAGGTACCTGCATCCCACATCAGAGGGTCTGGATTTGAGTCCCACTTCTGGCTCCAGACTCCAGCTTCCTGCTAATGTGAACCCTGGGAGAGAGTGGTAATGGCTCAAGTAAGTGGATGCCTGTCACCGACATGGGAAACCTGGACTGAGTTGAGGTACCAGCTCCCAGCTTCAGCCTGGCCCACTTCCAGCCAAAGGAGGCATCTGGGGAGTGAACCAGCAGATGGGAGCTTGCTGTCTCTCCACCTCACAAATAACCAATTTTTAGTTAAAAATAAGAATAGTCACTATAGGGAAAGGGAGAAAGTAGTTGAGAAGGTCCGTGGAAGACTTCTAGAAAATGATCTTATTCCCAGCTGTGTTCTACTAACAGAATCCTGGAGGGTAAGATGTATTTTATCAGAAGGCAGCATCGAAGTGCTGAATCATTAGGAGGGCAGGTGCACCTCAGAATTAACACACAGAGGGATCTATGTTGTGGCGCAGCAGGTTAAGCTGCTGCTTGCAATGCTGGCATCCCATATGAGCACTAGTTCAAGTCCCCACTGCTCTGCTTGTGATCCAGCTCCCTGCTGATGCACCTGGGAAAACAACAGAAGATGACCCAAGTACTTGGGCCCCTGCCATCCATGTGAGACCCAGATGGAGTTCCAGGCTCCTGGCTTCAGCCTAGCCCAGACCTAGACCTGGTCCCCCATCATTCTCCATTTCCAATAAAGAATGAAGAGAGAAGAATCGGTTGGTATTTCTGTTCAGTCCCCACTAAACATGGCTTTGGCCTTTTTTCTTTTCAGTTCCAAAAGGACAGGCATGATGTCTGCTGACATGCTGAGTCACTACTGTTGCCCCAGCACAGCACCTGACACATAGTAGGCACTCAAGACATACTGAGCCTTTGAACCAGGAGAACATCAAAACCACTTCAGGATGCAGATAACTCACTGTCACTCCCACATCTCATGATATTTCTCTATTCTGTTCTGCCGAAGACACTCGCCTTCCAATTATCTCAGGACCTGACACTGGCTACAGCTTGAACTTAACAGTAATGGACGTAGTCCTCTCCCTTCCTTCTCAGCCTTCGTGAAATGAAACGCCAGCAGTCATCTCTCCACACTGAGCCGCATACACTCAGAATCTCACCTACCCTCTAGCACTGGCAGTGGCTCTGATACTGAAATGTCACGGTTGCTGCTGTAATAGGCGACAATGCCCCACGTCATTTCATAATACCCTTGTCCCTTTTTACCTGAGCCACTTGATTGTGCTTCTCAGGGATGTTTTTCAGATGGCTGGACTGCACACAGACCACGTTCCCATCTGTGGGAAATAAAAGAATTAACTGATGGGCTTTTCTCTGAAAAAGATTATTTAGGAGAAAATGTCTGCCAACTCCAGTTCCCTCCTTCGAAGAGGCGTATTGTGGATAGGAGGAAGCAAAGTACTTAATTCTAGCACATGGCCATTTTTCAGGGAAAACCTAATTGTTTCCTGGTCTAGCCATTAAGCAGTGAATTCTTAATGGAGCTCGTCCTCACTATTTTCTTTCATACCACAAATGTGCCATATGACGACATCTGCTTTCTGTTCACATTTTAAGAGGAAAAATAAAATGTAATGGGTTTTGTTTTTCTGGCTACTGAATAATACAACACTGACGTCATCTTCATTTAATTCAGCGCACAGTGGGGGAAAAAAAACCAAGTGCCTCCTAATGAACTGTAGTTTAAAGCATATGGATATTAAATAGTGTGACTAATACAAAAAACGGTGGGTTTATTGAAAATGGGCAAATAGGAAGTCCAGGAATGGAATTTGGGAATGGATACCAGAGTTAAGTCTCAGAAATAGGCCACTAAGATTTCCCTCACCCAAATACACTTCCCCTATCAATTCCTTTAAGGCAGATTTATCACAGAAAACTCTGTCTTTCAGGGATATGGGGATATGTGATAGAAAAGGCAACTATAACAACGAGGAGACTGCTCCCAGTATGGAAACTAGCATAAACTGACGCCGCCGCTGCCGCCGGTGATGACGACGACGATGATGATGATACAGCCGCTGCAACAATGGTAACACTTATGAAGTGCTTGCTAGGTTATCAGCTATATGGCTTATTGAAGAAGAAAGAGCAAGGGATCATATGATTTCTGTCACTGTGTTATAATGACTACCCACCAGAATGTATCTACAATGAACCTTGGGATCACGTTCTGCAGCAAAGACTTCCAATTCAACCTCCTTCTTTAAGGCCACTATATTTTCCACTCCTACTGACACTGTTCTCCGTGCTCTTCCCTTCCCTCTCAGTCCTTGGTTTGCTATTTCTATGGATCATAGCCTTCTACTGACCTCTCCAAGTTCCCAGGTAGTACCCCACAGTCTTGGGATTGCCGTCTGGACCTCGGTTCACAGAGAAGGTGGACTTATTTTGGTAGCCATTGATGACAGGCTGGAAAGGGCAAAAGGAAAGGAAGGGGACAAGAGGGGGGTCAAATGAAACAAAGGAGGAAAACAAAAGAGCAAAAACAGGATAAGAATGCATGCTGCTTACCTGGAAGGTATGACATATGTGAAAGTCTGTGGCCAAGCAAGACACTCCACAGCAGAAAGGGGTTCTAATCTTACCAAAAAGGAGTCAGCAAATTTGTGGCAAGGCCCAGAGCATACATATTTTCGGTTTTACAGACCATATGGTCCCTATCCCAACTACTCAACTCTGCCACTATGGTGCAAACACAACCACAGACAACATATAAGCAAGGGAGCCCAGCTCAGGTAGTAGCATCGTGGTTGATAAACTGTGCCTTGTATCACATAGTCCTCAGTGTGAATCTCCACTCTGGCACTTCCAAGATGTGTGTGTCCTGGCAAATTACTTAATCTCTCTGAGCCTCTATGTCTTCATTTGTAAAATGGCAGTACCAACTCCTCAGAGTTATTGTAAACAGTAAAATGAAGAAAAATGGTGCATGAGAATCACTTAGCACAGAGCTCAATACCCAGCAAGTGCTTAGCAGATAGCGGCTGATTTTATGAGCCATGAAGAGGGCTTGGTGGGTAAGGAATGGGACGATGGAGACTTACAGAAGGTATAATAGGATGGAGAAGACAACACAGCTCCTTGGATGTTGCAGCTGCTGTGACCTTGACTCTTTGGAGCATCTGAAGGTAAGACTCCAGTCTCTGTAAAATTTTTTTCTGAGCTTCAAATTTCACCTGCAAAAGAATATAAGCAAGGAAACAAGACTTTTGTGATCTCACAGCAAAGAAAGGGAAACAAATGGGACAAAAGAAGGATATCGCACAGATTCTTGGGCCACGTTCTCAGCAGATAAGGAACCCAGAATAATGGAACTGAGACAAACCTAATAAGGTATTGGAGAAAGGCCAAGAGAAAGCTCTGGCATAAGCTTATCATTTTATTGAACTGTTCAGACTAAACGTTCAAGGTATTTGCCAGTGCTGACTAGTAGAGCTTTCTATAATGGAAACAGTCTATGTTTGCACTGTGTTCTATGTATACAGTAGCCACTACTGTATACAAGCTGCTAGGCACTTGAAATGCAGCTGGTGAGGCTGAAGAATGGAACTCTTAGTCTTATTTAACTAATGTATAGAGTCAATTCTGCTATAATGTGACATAAGTATTCTTATATATTCTGGGCTCCCTTGTTTGTATGTTGTCTGTGGTTGTGTTGGCACCACAGTGGCAGAGTTGAGTAGTTGGGATAGGGATCCTATGGCCTGTAAAACCGAAGCATCTAAAGGTAATGCAAAATTGCACACACACAAAAACATCCCAGGGCTCATGGGAAAAAATGGGGTTAGGCACATAACATTCCAAAACTTTTCAGTGACACCCACAAAAAAGATAAGAACCTAATAAACACAGTAGCATCATTTTTTACACAGCAAATGGTTAAGAAATATGAGTACTATGATAAGGATAGCAGTTTACCCTAAACCTAAAGTGTGCTTGTGTTTGTCAGAAGGGCTGCAGCTTAGAGTTAAAGGTGAAGTAGTAAAGGAGGGTTATATGAGTTGGACAGAAAGCTCTAACAACACATTCAGAGGAGTGTGGCTCACTCTAAAATCACTACTAAGCGAATGTGAAATCTGTATTATGCTCAAATTGTTCCCTAATATTTCAATCCATTGTAACAAATTTCCACTCTCAAAATAGGCATTAGAGTAGGATTGACTGTATTTAAATTTAAATAGCCACATGTGGCTAGTGGCTACTGTTGCTGGAAACTGCAGCTGTATATGCCACAGCATGAGCACCACCACTTCCACACAGAGCTGTAAAGAGTGGCAAAATAGCCAGGAACAAAATAGGCATTTGGATCTAAGCATCTAGAGTCTGGAAAATATGAGCAGCCTGAAGTTCCAATTCCAGTCACTGGGATATAGTTTCAGGCCTGGGAGAATCATCCAGTCAAGCTTTCTCCCAGTTTAATGCTGTTTTGCTGGAGAGGAAAGGTAAAGACTCAAGCTGGGCGCCTACCTTGAGCTGCTCTTCATAGCTCAGCCTCCAGAGTGGCGTTACAACATCAGCCAGCCTTGAATCAAATAATTCAGGCACTTCGTTAATCATATAAACATGTCTCGAGCACCCACTATGCCTATGTACTTCCTGCTACCATTTTCTCTAGTGTTTTACTTAGCATTCAGAAGACTTAACTCACGAGCCTCTAGGGAGAAGGAGTCTGGGAGAGGAGCCCATTTTGGTGCTGTCTACTTAACAAAGCAGAACAGATGGGCAAACCTCATATAAGAAAAATTCAGATTTATCAGGTGATAATTAATCATATTACAAAAGGCTTCACTGTTGGGTTCCTTTAAATAGCTCACCTCCCTAATGCCTTTAAAATATAATTTGATTTAGAAGATGCATTTGTTGCATAAAATGAGGTCTATTTGTGTTTGTATGGCTGCAATGGGACTCTTGATTTCTAATCCATCTAATATCATTCTGGGGCGCTGGTTTTCAGCACACATACCCTGGACTGTTTAGAGAAACAGAGTCCCACTCTAGCATCACCGTTCTGAGAAAAACATGCTCAAAGACAAGAATATTTTGTGCAACCCTAGAGCACTGCCACTCACATGACTTCTGCAGATGCCCTGAAGTCTGTGCTGGGTATCCTCACTTGCAGTGCCATGTTAGTTACATTAGGAATACGGAATTCCACCAGATCCACAGATCCGGACTGGGCCTCACCTTTCCTGCCAGGAACTCTCTGGTGGTCCAAGACGGCTTGGCTTCTTCTGATGTTTCTGTCCCCTTTGACAGTTCTTGGCTATCACATGGACGAAATTTCCCTGACATGCTGTGTCCAGAAAGAGTCGTGACCAACCTGGAAGCTGTCTGGCACCCCAGGGAAGCAGCAGTTGTTTGGAGAAGGGAGCCACCCCGGAGAGGAAGCACCTGGGGCTGTGTACCAGGACTCTTCTCCTGATACCTGCCATCCAAAGACACACGGACATCTACCTGGTGAAAGGCAGACATATACAAGTTGGGAAATGGAGGCACAACTCCCAAATCCCTTCACCCACTTACGAACCCTTAAGCAACCCCAACACCTAATTCAGCACTGGCGCAGGTGAGACACTCAGTAAAAAAGCAGAACCTGTTGAATTACCGTGCACAAGGTACTGTTAGGCTCCCACAGGAAAGAGAGGAGGAAAACATAGTCTTGGTCCTCCAGCAAACAGTTCAATTCTCTGCATACATGTCTGTGGCCAATCTCTTCCCCCTATTCTACCTGCCAAAACAACAACCAACCAACCAAACAGTATGTAGTAAGCATTTCCTATGTGCAAGACGCCAAGCCACACTGGAAACCAGAGGGGTTACAAAGGTTACAATCCAATTGAGGAGATCAAATGCCAACACAGAAAAGACATTAGTAAATAATGCAATATGCCTGGTTCCTGATGAGCACTCAGGGCAGGCTCCCCAGCCAGGCTCTCCCTGCCAGGGGTACCAAAGAAAGGCAAGGGAGGTGAATTAGATGTTTGGAGCACAGGAGGTAGACTGGCCTGGCTAAAACACTCATTCATTTCAGGGAACAGAGACAATAAGGTTGAAAAGTTAAGGCAACATGATGAGACTTGGAGGAATGTTAATACCTGAATAAAATATTGACTTTATTGTACTTTATTCACTTCATTGGCTTTATGTAGAGAAATAAAGAGGACATATGGTGGTAAATAAAAAGTAGGCTCACATGTGAGATGTGCTGGGTTTGATCCGATAGGGAAATATCCAAAGGGAAACCTACTAAGAAGCACAGAAGCAGCAAGACAAATCAAGAGAGAGGTCAATGCTGGAGACTCTGGTCCAGTACAAGCTCTAAGATCAAAAGAGGGGCCGGCGCTGTGGCAAAGCGGGTAAAGCCACTGCCTTCAGTGCCAGCATCCCATATGGGAGCCGGTTCGAGACTCAGCTGCTCCACTTCCAACCCAGCTCTCTGCTGCGGCCTGGGAAAGCAGTAAAGGATGGCCCAATCCATGGGCCCCTGCACCCGCATGGGAGATTCGGAAGAAGCTCCTGGCTCCTGGCTTCAGATCAGCCCAGCTCTGTCCATTGTGGCCAACTGGAGAGTGAACCATCAGATGGAAGACCTCTCTCTCTCTCTCTCTCTGCCTCTGCCTCTCTGTAACTCTGACTTTCAAGTAAATAAATCTTTTTTTTAAAAAAAGGATCAAAAGAGAGCTTTGAGTACAGAGAAGAGCAAAAGGCCAATGACTAAAGCTAGGGAAAGGTAATATTTGGAGAGCAGAAAGAGATGCTGATGACTTGGGAGGAAAACAAAGAGAGTGTAGGGCTGAGGAGGCCGAGAGCAACACTGGATGAAAAGGCTGTACATCCCAGGAAGTCTGGGGCTAAAGGCAATGGGCAGCGGCAGACAGTGGGGACAGTGAAGGCTTTGGGATTGTAGGAGCACAGACCTTAAGTAGACAGATTGGGCCTGGCAGCCCATTGGCTCCACCACTTAGGAGCAAGGTGGCAAGAATCATTTCCATTGACCTTAGTCTTGTTTTTGTTTTTGCTGGATAATGCAGGCAGTAATAGAACCTACCTCATATAATGGTTCTAAGAGTTAAATAAAGATAATTCACAGAAAGTCCTTAGCAGATCTGAGATGATATTTGCAAAGCTCTTCAAGGTTAACAATGACTGTCATGACGCATTTCAAAACAGCATCTGGGGTGGCAATATCGAGGGAGAGGAGCTAGAAGAGGCGACAGTGGGAGTAACTCTGAGACCAAAGCTGGAAGAGTTAAAATGGGTGACTCTGAGAATACAGGGGAGGGCTCCACTTTGCAAACAGGAAGGAATCCCTCTTCCTCCAACACGGGATCCTGTTTTGTTGCTTATTGTGTCCTGTCTACTGTTGTGTAAGCGCATTTTAAAGTACCCAGGACTTGGCTTGACATCCTTCTGATCTGCTGTGAAAATACCTTTCTGTCACTGACCTCTCCCTCGGAGTTCATCCCAACACTAAGTCACACTTTAACTCACTATATTAAAGTCCAGTGTATGCAACGGATTTATTAACAAAGATTCCTCCAGAGCTCCCTCTTATTACTAACTTAGTATGCTATGATCAATGGGTAATTGAGAGGATGCTGACTTGGGTGCTGTAATATGCAGCCTACATACCATTCTATATGATTGCAAACTACTAAAGGGAGCAACTGATACAGCCTGTAATCATTTCCAGGAGGGAGGGGAATTCCAGATTTCTAACAGAAGATTAAGCTGGCCCAGAATCCAAGTGTTAATGATAGTACTCCCCATCCAAACTCCCTACAAAAGGCAACAAGTTGTCATGATTAAGAACACAGGCCTTGGGGCTGGTGCTGTGGCGCAGCGGGTTAAAGCCCTGGCCTGAAGGGTTGGCATCCCATATGGGCGCTGGTTCTAGTCCCAGTTGCTCCTCTTCCAATCCAGCTCTCTGCTATGGCCTGGGAAAGCAGTAAAAGATGGCCCAAGTCCTTGGGCCCCTGCACCCACATGGGAGACCCGGAAGAAGCTCCTGGCTCCTGGTTTCAGATCTGCGCAGGTCCAGCTGTTACGGCCATCTGGGAAGTGAACCAGCGGATGGAAGACCTCTTTCTCTGTCTCTACCTCTCTCTGTAACTCTTTCTAATAAAATAAAATAAGACTTAAAAAATAGAAAAGAAAAAAGAACACAGGCCTTGGGGCCAATGTTGTAGCCTAGCAGGTGGCATCCCATGTGGGATGTGACACCAGCATAGCATTGGGGCACTGGTTTGGATCTTGGCTGCTGCACTTCCAATCTAGTTCCGTGCTAATGGCCTGGAAAAAGCAGTGGAAGATGGACCAAGTGCTTGGGCGCCACCCATATGGAGGCCCAGATGATGCTCCAGGCTCCTAGCTTAGGCCTGGCCCAGTGCTGGTCACTGTGGCTATCTGGGAAATGAGCCAGCAGATAGATGCCTCTCTGTCTCCCTCTCTCTATAATAAAATAAATAAATCTTAAAAAGAAAGAAAGAATATGGGGCCTTAGAACTATGCTCTAATCCCAACTCTACTTCATTACTTAATCACTTTGAATCCCAGGGTCTCTATCCATAAGAATAGGGCTGATAACACCTACCTTTCAAGTTTGTGGTGAGAATTAAATGAGCTCATATACATGAAATGCTCAGGACTGCTCAATGTGTGTCACTACCCCTCCTTGGGCTCTTCTTGAAAGCGTGTCACTTGGCTTCTTTGTGCCTCAGTCTCCAACCTGCAAAATTAGTAAGATATAATGCATGCAAGGGTTGTGACAAGAAGCACAATTACACGGGAACTTCTAAAAGCAACACACGCACACCAAACAAACCTCTCCTCTCTGCATGTGTGCCTGCCAGACTATGAAGTGGTCAGGTCACTACCAGCCCCTCAACCATCTGGTAAAACTATCAAAAGCAGGGGCCAGCACTGTGGCACTGCAGGTAAACCTGCCACCTGTGACACCAGCATCCCATATGAATACCAGTTCAGGTCCCAGTTCCTGGCTTTGGCTTGGCCCAATCTAGCCATTGCAGCCATCTGGGGAGTGAACCAGTGGATAGATCTCTTTGCCTCTGTCTCTGTCTCACTTTGTCTGTTAACTCTGCCTTTCAAATAAATAAATCTGTAAAAAAAAATAAGTAAACCTAATTAAACTATCAAAAGTGTATGACCTGTGATGGCCCATATTTGTAGGATAAGAGATATTTATGTATTTTGATATGAAGGAGAACAAAAGCCAGAGAGAGGACATGAGGGAAGCAGGTGACAAAAATGAAAGAGCCGGCGCCACAGCTCATTAGGCTAATCCTCCACCTTGCGGCGCTGGCACACCGGGTTCTAGTCCCGGTCCCGGTCGGGGCGCCGGATTCTGTCCCGGTTGCCCCTCTTCCAGGCCAGCTCTCTGCTGTGGCCAGGGAGTGCAGTGGAGGATGGCCCAGGTCCTTGGGCCCTGCATCCCATGGGAGACCAGGAGAAGTACCTGGCTCCTGCCATCGGATCAACACGGTGCACAGGCCGCAGCGCGCAGGCCGCGGCAGCCATTGGAGGGTGAACCAACGGTAAAGGAAGACCTTTCTCTCTGTCTCTCTCTCTCACTGTCCACTCTGCCTGTCAAAAAAAAAAAAAAAGATGAAAGAATGACCTGGTGGGGCTGAGGAGGCCAATGACCTTGAATCCCAGATTTCAGGGAAGCAGGAAGGTGAAGGGAACATCAGGCTCTTTTAATGGGGTAGCATAGAAAGTGTTATGGTGGCAGAGAAAAGAATTACCCCGGTTCTTTGTCTCACATGGAAGAATTTCCAAGCGGACAAGCAGAGAGGGTTTAAAAGCAAGATTTATTAGAGTCACAGACCTCCAGCCAGAGTGGCAGGGAGGGGGGCTGCAAGAGAGGAAAAACCCAAAGGGGCTGCAGGTAGTGGGGTTTTTATGCCCAATTTTGGGGAAGAAAAAAACTTAACAGCTTGACATTCTATTACAAGGTAGGGACCAAATATCTATCAAAAGACCTGATTTGCAATCTTACATGCCCTGCAGCTAGCTCATAAAACAAAGAAAAAGCCATCCAGAAGGGTGGGACAGCTAACTTGTTTTCACAATGAACTGTGAAGCTTCCAAGGAGTGGTCAGGTAGGCACTTTTGGCCTTGCTAAAGACAAGCATTTCACACCCTAAATTATCACTCCTACCACCATGAAGGTCCATTAACCCATCTGACAGCTCACTAAAGGACAGAAGAGCTGAAGAATGTGGAAACAGCTATCCCAACCCCATGAGAGTCAGTGTTAGGGGGGCTCTCACTGGTGACTGCCACCAGGGCCGTGGTTCATGTGTGGCACCTCCAAAGCACTGTCCTTGTCCGGCTAGTCTTCTTCAAATGTGGTCTAAAATAGGACTCTCGGATTTCCCAGGGTCATGCATCAGCCATCATTCCTACTATAGAGTTTTTCATCGTTATGTAGTTAATTTCTGTGGTGAAATCTATTTTTCAAGGTAGCACAGTAATATCAGTCAAAGTGATTTCGTTTGTTTCTTAATATTAGCAGGGGCATCTATTTAAAGAAAGCACTGTTTTCCTTTTATAGTTTTTCCTGTTTTAATAAACGCTGGTGGCGTTTTTCTTAGGCGGAAAATAAGGAAACAAAACAGTGTGTGTTTGTGTGACAACTCCACTCCAGCCTGGGTGTCCGGAGTAGCCAGATAGGAAGGCAGAGTAATTGTGCAGGGCTTCCATGGATAGACGCAGCTCCAAATCCAAGAGGCTACATGGCAGTTCTGGTGCGCGCAGGGCCAAGGATCCGCTGGAGCCAAACGTCATCTGCCCACAAGAGTCCTGCTTGCCCTCCGCTCACCCTTCCTTGCCAAACCAGCAGCATGAACTGCGGCGCCCGCCTGCAGTCCACGTGCACTCAGATCCTTCCCCCTCCTCCTTTCTGCGGGCAGCTTCGGCCCAAAGTGCCTGTAGGAAGAGTTAACAAAGAGGAGACGCTAGGAAAGCTTGCTACTGAACTGGATTAGGCTGCAGGGCCAAGGGAATGGGGGGGGGGGGGGAGGACCCAGGAGTTACGTTGGCCTCTCCGCTGATCGTGACCTTGCGCAGCCACCACATGGCCGCGTCCCCCAGCGCCGCCAGTGTTCTCAATTCCCCGCCTTGCCGGCAGTTTGGTGCAGTAAGCACTTTTCTGTACAGCAAGGGTGAAATCGCGTTTTCCGGGCTATTTACCACCCCACCCCCTCGCCTTACCTCCCGTGGTAACCAATAAATCCTCTTACAAAGCTGCAGCGAGATAAGAGTCACTTCCTGGTGCGCGGGACGCCTCCGCTGCAGCGCGCGCCGCGGGCCTGGGACGCCCGGCGCGGGACGTGAGACTCCTCCCCGCGTGGGCGGGGCCGCGACCCGGGCCTCTCCACTCCTCCCCCGCAGCCCCCTCCTCTACTTTCCTGGGGCCCTTCTCTAGACCTGCGGCAGAAACAACCGGAGCTTTATTGTCCGCCACCCCTGTTCTCCAAATTCGCCCTGCTCCCCTCTACCCTGCCCATCATCGCCTGCTCATTTCTTCCTGTCCCACTGGCGGATGTAGATAAACCTCGGAAAAAACATCAAGAAATTAGCATTCCAGTTAACAGTGTTACCCACTCCAGAGATGCTTGCACGTTATGGCTTTCAACCCAAAGAATGACTTTCTAATGGTAGATGGAGTTGCAGGCATCACATCCAAAACGAATGGGGAGATGAGGGGCGAGGTGTTTTCCTGAAGCCCATCTTTTTGGGAAAAGTGAGCCTTATTGTGGGCCACAGAGTTTTTCAGGCATTCATTCCCTCTCTCTTTTATATTGTGTCAGAAAAGTATTTTGCTATTAAGACAACGTAAACCTGGTTTCTTAAGTGGATTGCACTCAAAGCAATTAAGTCTTAAATCATCGGGGAAAGAATGTTTTTTTTTCTTCAACTACAGAACTCAGAAAGAGAGCTGATATATTAGTTCATTCACCAGCTCTTGGACAGCATTTGATGATTTCTCTCATTTTGGGGATCACTAGCCCAGCCAAATGAGTAATAGAACATGTGTGTGCTGTAAAATCTTGTTGCTTTGATAGAACAAAATGTACAGTAAAATGAACCTACATTCAGTGACATTTGATTTTATTGTAAGCTTTTATTAATAACCATTTTACATTCATATGCCTGTATTTTGTTATATATTGCAATATTTACTGAATTTGTTGATTTCCAAATTTCTTTTTTTTAATTTTGTTTCAGTTATACAAATTTCATGTATTTCCTATATACAGATTTAGAAATATAGTGATACTTCCCACCCTACCCTCCCTCCCATCCGTGCTCCAACACTTCTTCATCCTTCCTTTCCCATTCCCACTTTTTAATTTTTACAAAGATCTATTTTCAGTTTACTTTATACTCATAAGGTTAACCTTACACTAAGTAAAGAGTTTAGCAAATAGTATGAAGAAAAAAACACTGTTCCTCATCGGTAGAGACAAGGGCTGTAAAGAATCATCAAGTCTCAAAATGTCCATTTCACTTCAATACATTACATTTTAGAGACTCTTTTAGTTACGCCAGATCAAGGAAAACAAATAATATCTGTCTTTTGGGGATTGGCTTATTTCACTAAGTATGGTTTCCAGTTGCATCCATTTTGTAGAAAAAAAAAAAGGATTTCTTTTTTTTACCCACTGTGTAGTATTCCATAGTGTATATGCACCATAATTTCTTTTTTTAAAAGATATACTTAGTTATTTGAAAGGCAGAGTTAGAGAGAGGCAGAAGCAGAGAGAGAGAGGGAGATAGGTCTTCCATCTACTCATTCACTCCCCAAATGGCCGCAACAGCCAGAGCTGGGCCAATCAGAAACTAGGAGCCTGGAGCTTCTTCCAGGTCTCCCATGTGGGTACCGGGGCCCAAGGACTTGATCTATCTTCTACTGCTTTCTCAGGCCTTAGCAGAGAGCTGGATCAGAAGTGGTGCAGCCAGGACTCGAACTGACACCTGTATGGGATATCAGCACTGCAGGAGGCAGCTTCACCCACCACACCACAGCACAGGCTCTCATAATTTCTTTATCCAGTCATCAGTTGTTGGACACCTACGTTGATTCCCATCTTAGCTATTTGTGAATTGAGCTGCTATAAACTTGGGGGTACAAATAACTTTCGTATGCTTATTTCACTTCTTTTGGGTAAACTCCCAGGAGTGGGATGGCTGGGTCATCTGGTAGGTCTATATTCAGGTTTCTGAGCTATCTTCACACTGTCTTCCACAGTGGCTGCACCGGTTTACATTTCCACCAACAGTGGACTACGGTACCTTTTTCCCCACATCCTTGCAGTAGTTTGTTGTTTGTTGATTTCTGTATGAAAGCCATTCTAACTGGGATGAGGTGAAACCTCATTGTGGTTTTGATTTGCATTGCCCTGATAGCTAGTGATCCTGAGCATTTTTTCGTGTCTATTGGCCATTTGAATTGACATTTAATTTTTATGCTTAATAGTATTTGAGTTTAAATAGGAAGCACTTTGTTGTTAACATTTCATTTATTTATTTACTAAAAGGATAACATGCCTACTATGTGCAAGGCAATGCATTCTCCCTAGTGAGTACAGCCAACAGCAAACAATGGGTCAGCCAGACCAAGACTCAAAACCCACATCTGCCACTTGCAAGCTGTGTGCGCTTGAATAACTTATTTAACTGCTCAGTGCCTCAGTTGCCTCATCTGAAAAAATTCATAATAGTTGTACCCACCTCTTAGTGTTGTGATGAAAATTAAACAAATTTAATGTGAAGCGCTTAGAACAGGACACAATAAATGTTAGCTATAACAATTGAAAGATAATTTGATATACTGTATGCATGCACACTCACATACATATATATGTGTGTGTATATATATATGTGTATATATATATACCTTGTTTTTTAAAACACAGATCTTTTACTTCCCGTTCTAAACTTGGGAATTAATTTAGAATTAACTCAAATTGCAACCATCTGAACTGCTTTAATGGCTCTTAAGCAAAATCTGGGCTCAAACCGCTGTTTCAGACATGTAGGTCCACACAGCACCATCAAGCAAGGTGAGGTCAGAGAAAGCACCTTCAGCTGTCTTTTCTCCTCCTCTTATCATCCCCTTGTGTAACTAGACAGCTCTACTCCTTTCTTCTCTCCTCTCTCCCTTTCTCCTCCTTCCCTTCTGTTCCTTTTTTGTTTTTAATGATAATAACCCCCATGCTAAGGCCTTTCTTTTTTTTTTATTTGACAGATAGAGTTAGACAGTGAGAGAGAGAGAGAGAGAGAGAGAGAGAGAGAGAGAAAGGTCCTTCCTTCCGTTGGTTCACCCACCAAATGGCCGCCACGGCCGGCGCAGTGCCAATCTGAAGCCAGGAGCCAGGTGCTTCCTCCTGGTCTCCCATGCGGGTGCAGGGCCCACGCACTTGGGCCATCCTCCACTGCCCTCCCAGGCCACAGCAAAGAGCTGGACTGGAAGAGGAGCAGTCAGGACTAGAACCCGGTGCCCATATGGGATGCCGGCGCTGCAGGTGGAGGATTAGCCAAGTGAGCCATGGCGCCGGGCCCCGCCCCCCTTCTGTTCCTTTTTCAAATTCCATCTCCACTTTCTCTGATGGACCTAGCACAGAGCCAGGTTCCCTGTGGGAACTGAACAAATATTTGATGAGTTAAACAGAATTCCACCTTGTTTATTGAAATGGAAAGGGCATTTCCTCCCTCACCTTCACCTTCACCTCCACCCATTCCGAGCATCCAAGCAAACTCATTTAAAGCAGGTCTGTCATTCCAGGAGGCAGAACCCCGAGGGCTAAAGAGAGAAAAAAGATTAAGGAAGCTATAACATAATTACTTAGCCATTAACCCCTTTATATTTATTTAATCTGATAAAGCATGTGCTTCTTTCAAAGAGAGATCATTGCATTTGTAAGACGGGAAAGAAATATCCCATACTATAGAAAAGGTTAGACTCTTCAACGGAAAAGTCAATAAATGGACGTGTCGTAGGTGATAAGCAATGCAGTTATATTAAATCAGAGGTGGAACCGAGATAACCTTTCGCTTAACTTTGTTATCAACAAGCCAAATCACAACAAAGTGAAACCTCTAGAAATTTGTCAACCATTCTCCCTTTGGTGCAAAGAAAAGCTATGGGGGAGGCTAGAGCATTCGCTCTCAGAAATAACATGTATTACAAATCTTTGGCAAATTAGGGCTGGTGTGGGTCCATTAAAGAGATTCTCCAGTGCTCATTCCTCGCACCTAGGACTGTGCTAGAAGCTAGGAGGGATGACTGCACAGACCATAGCCTGGAAGCATATGTGACTTGGTGGGAAGATGAGACTCACATTGTGAGAATACCCACCAGTTCTAGGAGAGCAGCTATCATCTTGGTAGGTAGGGAAGAAGGAGAACGTGAGAAGTGCGTTGATTGCACAGGATATGCATAATCTGAGAGGAGGTGAGTGCTGCAGCTGGCAAACAGAAAATGAGTGATATGGGCACAGGGCCTGTGAAGAGGCTGGCGTGGCCAGGTGGGAGAGTGAAGCCAGTGCCATTGGCCATCTCGTGGTTTAGATAGATAGGTCCCAGAAGATGAGGAACAGATGTTCGTGAAGATGTTTCTGTGAGAGAACTCCAGCAGCTGTGTGTAGGATGGATTTTACAGTATAGGCACCTGGATGTTGAGGGCGACGTGCTGCAGTCATTCAGATGGGGGTGAGAAGTGTCTGTACTGAGACAGACTATGCTGTAGACTGCAAGAATTTCTCAAAATACGGTCAGGGCCCATCTGCAACATAACATAACCATAGCCCGGGTGGGTGTAATAAATGTGGATTCTCGCATCCCACCCTGCAAGAGCTGAGTCAAAATCTCAAGGGAGAGGGGTTTGGGAATCTGGGTTCGTAACAAGCATTCTAGGTGATGCCAGTTAACACTGGAGCCCCACTATCATGCACCCTGAAATTCCAGATGAGTTCAGTGAAGCGCAAACAAATCAGCTCGTTAACAAAATACAGATGATTACACACCTGAAAAATGGATGCATAGAACTTTCTAAATTTAAAAGCAATAGAATAAGACAATCAAGGGTGCAGATTTTACTATATAAACCTTAAAACTTCTATATGGGGCAGGATCTGTGGCTCAGAGGATTAAACCATTGCATCCCATATCAGAGTACAAGTGCAAGTCCCGGCTTCTCTGCTTCCAGTCCAGCTTCCTGCTAATGCAACTGGTAAGGCATCAGCTGATGCCTCAAGTATTTGGGCTTTTGCCATCCACGTGGGAAACCCGGATGGAATTACTGGCTGCTGGCTTCAAGCTGTCCTACATCTGACTGTTGCTGGCGTTTGAGGAGTAAACCAGCAGATGGAAGA